GCTGGACAACCCAGGTCGTAACGCGAGTTCAGCCAATATTACAATCACTGCCTGCTATCATCGTGTGAGAGCTGTGGAAGAGAAGAAATGGATATAAACATGGAGAGACAGTAATGATAAACATGGTCATATACCAGATATCTACCACAATTCAATCTCTGGTTAAAATAAGGAAGCCATCATTCTATAACGCTCCACACAAATGGCCAGATTTATTGAACATGATGGAGCAATGCACACCAGCATTGAAAATTACTAAAGTTCTATGGGAAAAGCCTATGATAGGGTAGATTAAAGTTAATTCAGATGGAGCTTCAAGGGAAAATCCAGGAAGAAGTTCAATTGAATTTGCCATGAGAGATGAAGAAGGTGATATAAGGTTTGTGTGTGGGAAACTCATACATGACACGACGAATAATGAGGTAGAAGCTTTGGCAATTGGTGAGGCACTCAGATACTGTGAAGGACAAGGTTATACAGACATTATGCTTCAAACAAATTCATTACTATTGAAGAATGCAATTGAAGTAAATTGGGCTATACCATGGACAATCGCAGAACATGTTGAGGAGATTGAAAAAATAATGTCAAGACGTCATGTAAAGCTATCACATATAATGAGAGAAGGCAATTTCTTGGCGGATCACTTAACAAATTATGCTCTTGATATAGGAGATATTGAAGCTTACTGTTTTCAGGAATTAGATTTAAAATGAAGAAAAATTGTGAATAATGATAAACTTCAATATCCATATCTAAGGGTGAAAGTTGCACGAAATTAAGGATGCGATCAAACAAGCAGATGAATCGCAAACATCAGTTCCATTTCTGTGCTCCAATCATTAGGGAGGAGAGCATGTGAATATTTTTCACTGACATGGCGTTCGTTTTTGCAGTGAAGGCCATTGATTTTGTTAACAGGAATGAATGCAGCAGCAGGACACTCTTTTGTTTCTTAATGCGCACAAATAGGAAATCGAAGATCAGGAGGAAAATGAAAACAAACAACTTCAACAGTTTGTTTGTACAAATGCCGCTAAGGAAACAACTTTGCAACAGAAGAAAAGGGGACAAAACAACAACACATTTCACAAGCTCTATATACCATGAATGAATTGACAAAAAAAATAATTAAAAGAGGGCACCTGCAATTCACACGAGATCGTCATCAAACCAGGCATGCTACATCAGCTCCCCAGTCTTTCATGCATGGCACAAGGTTCTTCAACAGGTCATATGAATGCTTTGAAAAGTACCAGATAGAGCAGCTTATCATATTCATCAAGTAGGATGTACAAGGACGATAAGTTGGGAGAAATGTCACACTTTCAAACAAACATCATGCCTGAATTTTGGACGCAAAAATGGACAGTCATCACTAGCATCTACTGCTGGACAGTGCTAGAAAAAGATGATGGCCACAATTAGAGATAACATATTGCAACACCAAAGGAATGCAGATTCTATCACATGAGGGATCTGTTAGCAGTGGATATAGAATACACAAGTGATGAGAATTACATCACGACGGGTCATAGTGCCAAACAAGTGCGCACAAATAATGAAAATGGATACATTTGTAATACTCTAGTATCTTTACATATTTTATGCTTTATATTCTATTTCTATACTAGATCACAATGTAATATCCATTTTGGGTATCACAAGCCCAAAATTGATAATACGATCTATGTATTTGTCAAACTTTATCTATTTCATCATGTAAGACCTCCTGATACTCTTTGTTGCTTTTTTGGATTCATATTTATAAAAAGCTAGCCCTGGGCACTTGCCTAATGAGTTTCCAAATATATATATATATATATATATATATATATATATGAAGATTCCTAAATTTCAAACTCGAACTATAGATTTGCTAATTAAATGTAGAGAAATTTTTACAAACCACTGTTTTGTGGTTATTAGCTTGCTATGGCTACCATTTACTAAATTACTTCCTATAGCTATATTTTCAGTTGTTATAGACTGTATTCGATGTATTTTAGCTACTGTATTCATAAATACAGTAGCAAAACTCGGCGAAAAATAGGGGAGTCCAGCTAAGCAGAAAATATCTTCGACTGTATTCGCGGGCTGTATTCGTGAATACAGTAACGTAAATCTGCGGGAAAAGGGTCCTTTCAGTTGTTTAAAAACGGTAAGTGAATCAATTAACGTGATAGACTCCTAATATAACTCAACTAACTCAATTATAACACGCATAATTTGTATTTCCAGTTATAGAATATTCTCGGCCGAAAATTACCCCAAAACAGAGCAATCTCTAGAGATTCAACCCTGCCTTTCTTTGTTGCTATCGTTCGTGGAAGTTCTGTTTATTAAATAAACATATGAATACAAACTACAGTATATATACACTACAATCTGCTGAATACATATGAATACATAATGCTTAATATATAGTGGAATACATATGAATACATATATACATGAGATGAATACATTCCATAGTTTACTAAAGGATTATTTTTAGTAAACTGCTGAATATATACTGTATGTATATTTTGAATATATATGAATACATACTGCAGATATATTTGAATACATATATACATCTGCTGAATACATATGAATACAAACTGCTGAAATTATATTGTTGCACAAAATATTGAAACAAAGTAAAGCTTTGAAATTATAAAGTGCTGAATAAACACTTTGAATACATGCAAATGCATGCGTCATTGCGTATTTTTGTATATTGTTCTATCTTCAAATACATGTTGATTCTTTCGGAGATTTCTCAAATTAGGCGTGTTTCGATGTGTCATTGCGCATTTTTATTCTCTTTTCCGCAACTGTATTTGATGCTGAACCTGCAAATACATGTTCCGCTTGAGTGATTTGCAAATCGAAAGATGGCCCTTCGAAATTGAGTGCTTTGGTCGGTATACCTATGGTAACCCTCTTGTAAGGAGTTGAATCAACCATTGGAGAAGAAATTTCGAGTTTTCTGTAAAAGCATAACAATGGTGATTATTTCTAAAAAAACAGTAAAAGATATATAAGAATACAGGTACATGCGAAAATCTAACAAGTTTAAAACTTACCATAATTTTTTGGAGTGATCAATTTTGAAATTTGAGAGAGAAAATAGAGATGAATTAGTTGATAATGGTGGTTGTATTCTTCGGGAAGATACTAGGTTGGGAGAGAGATAGTGGAGAGAGATCGTGGGTTTAGCAAATTTGTATACTATACGGTGTTATTGTGAAAGAAAAAATAGAAAGTAAGAGAGAGAAAAATATTTCATAGCATATTTAAAGGCTTAACGGCAGGAAGTGATCATAAATAAATAATTTGCTATAAAACCTAAAAGGTAGTTATAGAAAATAATTTTTTAAAAAGGTATTTATTTATAATAATTAAGGTGTAAATGGTTGATATAAGAGGTAAAATTTCCTTAAATGTACCCTTATGGTCCATGAGGTCTGGGTTTTCCAAAAGCTTAGTGAATGGGCTTACATGGTTTAATTTACTGAAATTTTATCATAGGAAATATTATTTTAATGAGAAAATGACACTTAAAATAATAGCCGAATATATATATATATATATATATATATACACACACAAATTTTATGTATTTTTTTCGGCTACCGAATATAAATAGTTTCTAGCACCGGCTAAAAGTTATATTTTGTATATGAATTGCATATGAAAATAAAATGTAGTAAATAAAATATAGAAAATATAGAAAACATAGGTAAATAAAATATAGAAAATCTGTAAAAGTTTAATATTTATATTTATTTTAATTGTAAGTGGTCACATAAGGTTTTTTTTTTTTTTTTTTTTTCATTGATTGATGAATTAATAGAATTAGTAACACCAG